ATAATATAGAAAGGCTCTTTCACCTTGCCAGATTCAACAGTGGGTTGCATTCTGCCTTCTTTAAGAAAGTTTGCACCATAGGGTTCTTGGGCTTTTCTTCCAGGTTATAAGGTCTGTCCTCCAATCATGCCTACCCCACCTGAAGCAGGCATTTTTTCTCCAGACCTTACATACCTTCAAACCATACCTCACTTATCCAAGTTCAGTTCTTACTTATGGACTAAATCTCTTTCTGGTTCTCTAGCACTCATTTTATAAGGTCAACATCATCACTTTTCTTCACTTATTAGCCTAAGTCCATATTACTATATGTTCTTAAGAAAGACTCATGATAACTAGATCATGCTATACAATAATTCAAGTTTTAGTGTCCAAATGTGTGCGTGTGAGTGTGCATGTGTATACAGATTAGCCAGCCCTGGTGGTCCAGTGGTTAAGATTCAGTGCTATTACACTCATGGCCCAGGTTTGCTTCCTGGTCAGGAAAGACACCATCCATCTGTCAGTTGTCATACTGTGGCAGCTGTGTGTTGCTGTGATGCTGAAAGCTATGCCACCGGTATTTCAAATGCCAGCAGGGTCACCTATGGTGGACACGTTTCAGTGGAGCTTCCAGACTAAGACTAGGAAGAAGGATCTGGCCACCAACTTCCAAAAGAACTGGCCATGAAAATCCTATGAATAGCAGCAGAGCATTGTCTGCGGTAGTGCTGGAAGGTGAGAGGATGGTGCAATAAGACCGTGCAGGGTTCTGTTCTGCTGTACATGGGGTTGCTAGGAATTGGAATCGACTCCAGGGCACTAACAACAATATGTATAATATCTGAGCATAATATGTGTGTGTGTATGTATGTATGTATGTATGTATGCATGCATGTGTATATATATATACACACACATATGTATGTATGTATGTATGTATATATATATACACATATGTATGTATGTATGTATATTGTGTGTGTGTGTGTGTACAAAAACCAGGATTTGCAGGAGTTTTAAAATCTACCATCAGATCACACATTTCTTTAGCCAAATAATAAATACTGTGTGATAAGCCGTCACACTTCACTTTCATGTGTCTACTTTAAGAAACAGTACAGGGGCCGGCTCCATGGCCAAGTGGTAAGTTCGCACGCTCTGCTGTGGCGGCCCAGGGTTCAGATCCTGGGCGCGGACATGGCACCGCTCGTCAGGCCACATTGAGGTGGCGTCCCACATCCCACAACTAGAAGGACTACAACTAAGATATACAACTGTGTATGGGAGGGTTTGGGGAGATAAAGCAGGAAAAAAAAAAAAAAAAGATTGGCAACAGTTGTTAGTCCAGGTGCCAATCTTTAAAAAAAAAAAAAAAAGAAACTGTACAAAGTCACACGGTCCAAATAAACAAACCAACAAATAAAACCAGCCTAGAGCAGACATCCAGGCACTTCTTTTCTAGGCTCTGAGGTAAATTTCAAGTGCTGTGTTCTCTTTTATCAATTTTATTTTCCCCTCTGCTTTTGGAAATAACACTCATTTTTTAAGTCTGATCCACATGATTTTACAGAGTCAGGTAAGAATGGAAGGGGGTGGGACAGATGGAGAGTGGTAGGAAGAAACCTAGTATTTATCCAGTTACATGAGAGCAAAGGCCTGTCTGTCTTTCTCACCTCTAAACACCTTGGTTCCTTGAACAGGATCTAGTGAATGGTAGGTGCTCAATAAATACATGTTGAATGAATGAAATTACTGAAGCTGTGCGACATGCTCAGCGCTGTGCTGGATGCTTTTAACAAGAGTCTGGAACAAGGGCAACAAAAAGTAACTCAGTATAATAACGTGCCCTCCTTTGCAATCACATAAGAATGCATTCCCTGAGGTGGTACCTTCAGAGCTCAGGCTCATGCTGAGGTTGCAGTCCCAACATCTCAGTGGGCAAAACGAGGGTAAGTAACAATCTAAGGCAGGGCTCAGGGGCCAAGTCTGGCCTGTAGATTGTTTTTGTATAGCACAGGAGCTAAAAATGGTCTTTACATTTTTAAAAGATACAAAACAAAAGAAAAATAGACATCAGAGACTGTCTGTGGCCTGCAAAGCCAAAAATATTTACGATCTAGCCCTTTACAGAAAAGTTTGCTGACTCTTGTTCTAAGGTGATACTAAGAATGTGCTTCCGAAGTTACTTTCAGTCTAAAGTGTGTTTGTCTTGAACTTGTGTTCAAACACGGCAAGACTGCGGGACTGCGATCTGTCAGACCACAATGACTCTGTGAGCATTCTGGAGCCACACACACATACTCGATGTTCTTTATCCCAGCTTAGAGCAGCTCCATAGGACAAATTTAGAGAGTTGGCATCTTTGTTACCGCATGCTTGTTTACGTGACCTTTTTTGTGGGTGTTTTGCTACATGATCTTCTGGTGAGAGTTTTGCAGCACATTGGCATCCCCCCCTACAAGATCTGTGGGTAGCAAAATCACAAATGCGCTACGCTGGCCCACTTGGTATAATGATCAGAGGGCTTTGTCATTGGAGCTTTGAATTCACCTGGAATTCAGTTGAAATACTCAAGATGTAACCTGATTACCTCTATCTTTCACTAAATCTGGGAAATTTTTAGTCATTGTTTCTTCAATGATTATTTTCTTCTCCATTCTCCGTCTCCTCTCCTTCTGTGACTCCAATTACACTTATGTTAGAATTCTTGATATTATTCCACAGGTCACTGAGTCTCTGTCATTGTCAACAATCTTTTCTTTCCATTTTCCAGATCGGATAATTTCTATTCTTCTATCTTCAAGTTCACTGATCTTTCTTTTGTCATCTCCAATCTGCTGTTAGACTCACTGAATGAATTTTAAAAATTTAAGATATTGCATTTTTCAGTCATAAAATTTGTTTCTTTTTTAGTGTCTCTTTTTTTCTGCTGAGATTTCTTATGTGTTGATTATGACCATAGTTTTCCTTATGTCTTTGGGCATAATTATAATAGCTGCTTTGAAATTCTTGTGCGCTAATCCCAACATATGTATCATCTTGGATTCAGTTTCTATTAATTGCCTTCTCTTGTGAGTATGGGCTACTTTTTTCTGTTTCTTTGTATGTCTAATAATTTTAGATTGTATCCTGAACATTGTGAACATTGTCTTAATCTATAGCAGTGCTATTCGATAGAAACAAAATGTGAGCCACCTAAGTAATTTTAATTTTCTGGTATCCACATTAAAGTAAAAAGAAACAGGTGAATTTAACTGTAATAATGTATTTTCTTTGACCCAATGTATCCAAAATATAAGTATTTCAATGTATAATCAATAACAAAATTTATTAAGATATTTTATAATCTCTTTCCATACTAAATCTTTGCAATCTGGTATGTGTTTTACAGTACATCTCAGTTTGGACTAGCTAGTGGTTACCATATTGATCAGTACAGCTCTAGAGTATGATTCTGGAAGAATATTGAGGGTTGGTCCAAAACAAGCCACTCCATCATTACAGGAAGCAGAATCACTGACTGATGGTCTTTATACTTTATTCCTTGGAATTCTGCAGGGATGTCGTGGGCCTACTATGAGATGAGGGGAGGCAGAGTGCATTGGGCTACTCTTCGCTGTCGTATATGTGTCTCAATTCAATCAGAGCAGCTCTGATTTCATGTTTCATATATTTTGTTTCTGCACATAATTTAAAACATATTTTGATACTAAAACAGTTTGAAACCATAATGGTTTCATAATATGATTCTTGAATAGATCCCCTTAAGATATTTCTTGCTCAATCATGCCCTTGAGCCCAGCCGACCTCTCCTCCTCTCGATACACTTACCCTACCTTCTAATCACGTTACAAGAGCCAGGCTGTCTCCGCTTTAAGGAGAAGAGATTGTGGCCTGTACAGTATTTGAGTCTCCACAGTGGCAAGTCCTTCCTTCTTTGGTCCCATGTGTATGTAACTGATTGATTGATTGATCAGTTGATGGGATTGTGGGATGGCTGCTCATACCCAAGATGCTCAAGAAGAATTCCCGAAGTGAGCTCTTCCTCATGGCCTTCAACGCTGGGGTAAATTTCATTCTTAATTTGCCAAGGACCACATACAATCAATGAAACAAGGCTCAGCATCTTGCTTCCCCTCCTGTCTTTTCTAACTCACACACATTTACCAGTTCAACAAAGCAAAGGGGGTTGGGTTCAAAACCCAAATGCTTTGTGAAACTTTTGCACCAGGCACGTGGCATAAGTTGAGCTTAAGGAACCCCAAAAACTGCCATGTCAAAAGTCCAGTCTAGTTAAAAAAGTTAAACACACCTTAACCTGATGCACAGACCCACAAAACAAAAACCAGGCACCTCAAGCCAGAGTAGATTGGGAGACCAGGGGTGATATCACATAATGTAACAGAGTCCTAGTACCATGCAAACTCCTATTAAAATGACTGGAAATAAGAATGCTTAGCTGATGAACACGTTTCACACACTTCATCTAGGCTGACGGCCAAGAGAATTCACTTCAGAGCGCGTGAGTAACATGACCGTGAAAGTTGGGGTTGGGAACAGAAGCTCTGATGGATTCCAAACAATAAACACCAAGACCTGTACTCACTGGCGTTAATTTCAGCCACAGAAACAGGCCAGCCCCAAACACTAACCTCCGTGCACTTACTCACGGGCATCCACACTCTGATAGTGATTTTCTTTTCCTCCAAGACAAAGTAACTTGGGGGAGTTGACACGTACCAGTTGAAAGTGTGTGACAACAGCCATTTTTTAGTCCATGAGACGTTCTTAATGATCTATGAGACACCTTCCAGCTAAGATTGTACATTTCCATCAGACTTCTAGCTTAGTAGCCAGAAATTCGGTATTTCAAGTAATCAGAAATCACTCAGCAATAACAACAGAACGTGGCACAGAGCAGTACTGTGGTATTAACTGTGTGTCCCGCTCACTTCCCCCGTTCAAAGGCCTTCTGCCCCTACTCTGGCAGGTCCAAGCTTAAGAAACCAGCTCCTTACCGTGACTGACATGGGTGTGAATTGCACCTTCGGACTTGGGGCTCTGGACGGCTTGCTTGAGGGCAATCACTGTCATTCACCAGAGTCGTGGTCTTGTTAACAATCTGCGTGCAGGACACGATGGTTCTGCGTTCCCCTGGAAACCAAACCACAGGGCACTGAGAGGCTGTGGCTGCACACACCTGGAAAGAGCATTTGTTTACACTTATGGAGGCGCATTCAGGTACATCTTTTGATCAGTTTGTCACTTAAAGTGACTGTTGTAATGCCTTTTTGGTTGTCAGGAAGGGAGAACTGTAATCTTAGTGATGAGAGTGTGTAAGACATGGTCAGGGCAGTGTAGGGCAGGAGAAAAATTCCAGAATAGGATCAGAAAGAAGCAACACCTCAGATCAGCTGTGTCCTTGGACAGATTGAGATTCATCCAGGCCAAAGTTGTGATTCAGGTCTTTAATTTCCACAAAAGATTGCCAATTTCTCTCTTTATTTTTTATTGAGGTCACATTGGTTTATAAAATTATATAAATTTCAGGTGTACATCATATTTCAAATTGTGTAGACTGTGTCATGTTCACCACTGAAGTCTAGGTGCCATTGCCAATCTCTTTATCTGTTTATTTGATGTTTACGTCTATGGAGATCTGGTCTCGATTAAATATCTGTACCTCAGCTTTCACCAGAGATCATGGCTTCTTATTACAGAATTCCTACTTGCTAGGGAGAAGCAAGGAACAGGGAGGCCAGTCTGAAGGACACACAGACCCGCATCCTCCAGGGAGGCATTCTAGAGCCAATCTGAGAACTTGTCTATCCAGCCAATTGCTACTTATGCCCAAGCATCACCTGCTCTTGGGAATCTTCAGTAACCGGTTACTCCAACTGGATGCAGCCATTCTCTTGTGTTCCCAAAGCACCCTACACTACTTGGCCATGACTTTGTCAGAGTGGCGAATAACTGGGATCTAGGAGGGCAGCCTCTGGATCCAGGCTGTCTGGGTTCAAACTTCGCTTGGCAACCACTATCACAGTGATCATAAGGTTGATCGATAGTAAGCCACCATGCTTCTGAGCCTCAGTTTCATCAAGCGGGCTGGTTCACTTAACCTCCCTGTTCCTTAGGGTGCTTTGGGGATGGTTAAAAGAAATTGATACAAATGAAGTGCTCAGAACAGAGCCTGGCAGGGGTTAACACTTAGAGCTAGCTATATTCCTGTTGTTATTATTATTTGGGAAGTCCGGCAAAAAAAGATTAATAGGATGTCAAGCACAACTGTTTGGATCCCAGACTCCTTGATGGGTCTGTCTCTTGGGGAATTTGTCATGTAGGGATGACTCCAAATTATGGAATCTTTTTTCTGATTCCTTGAGGAAGATTCACCCTGAGCTAACATCTGTTGCCAATTTTCATTTTTGTTGAGGAAGATTAGCCCTGAGCTAACAAAAAATTATGGAATCTTGAACTATACTGTCAGCTCCTACTGCCCGTAACTACAGCCTTGTGTGACTACAGAAAGCATGGAGCCGCCTCAGGCCAGATTTCAGTTTTGGCTGCAAGTCTGACAAAGGGAGCTGGGAGTCACTGGTGTCATAAAAGATGCTAGCATGACAGCAGCAGAACAGCCCCCACCCCCAGGAGGGGAGCCTGCTAACTGTGCCATTTGGGCCATGCTTAGTTTGCAGCAAGTTGCCCAAGAGGATAAGTCTGGTGCAATCAGGGATATGGGCGTGGGCTGGATCTGGAGGCTGGAGGGCCATCAGCACGGAGGGACAGCTGCGGGAGAAGGGGACTCGCAGGGATAGGCGCAGAGCAGGAGGACGACAGGGCAGACGGTGGAATCCTGAGGATACGCCAACTGCCACAGGGCTGCCTCAGGAAGAGGCTGAGAACAAAAAGTGAGGGCGGTTAGCCAAGATGTGCAGGAGAGGGAAGGAATGCACAGTTGACCCTGGCAGTGTCTGATGGACTCAATCATGCCATGGCTTTAATTCCTATTCACTGGAAACGAGACAGGTCCCTTAAACAGCAAACAACTCCCTGCATATTGGATATCTGACAATGTCAGCTTAGCGGTCAGGACTGGCTATGGGTGGGGCCATGCCCAGGTTCCACCCTGCGATCCCACCCTCTGGGTTGGCATTCCAACGGCCAGGTCAATCTTCTCTCCTAACTCTGCCCATCAAAATCTACTCATCCTGTGCCCCACCTCCCATGTCCCTGCTGTGCACCCTGTCAGAGTGACAAATTCCGCTGAACTAGGGGCTTCTGGCTAAGAGGTCAGAATGGCTTCCTATTGTTTCTCCCAAACAGCACAGTAATAAATATGATGCCTTTTGTTCACTTGATTTTTGCAGTATGACAGGCTCCTCCCTGCTGTGGGGATGAGGGCTGCTCACCCTATTTTAGAGGTGAGGAAATTCAGGTATATAGAGGGTAAGTCATTTGCTAAAATACGAAAGCGAATTGCCAAGCCAGGAATCATGCTCTGAATGTTTCACCGGACCTGCAGGATTTTTTCTTTCCATTGTATCCTCTAGTGGGGTTACTGCGGCAAAGAGAAAAGGGTATTTGGGAGCCAGAGGCATCTTTTCCTGCCCCTCCACCAAGCAGCAACAGATGGAGGTCTATTCTGTTCATTCCCAGGGTCACCAGTCACGCCTGTGACGTAGCTGTGCGTAGGCCAGGCCTCCACTCACAGGTCAGAGTCGGGGCCCCAGGCCACAGGCAGAGCAGCTGTGTGGGCACAGCTCCAATGTGCAGGAGTTTGGAACACTGCCCAAGTGCTCTGCAGAGAGATTTGCAGCGGGACGTGGTTAAGTCCCCGTGGCAATACAGGTTACGTAGCCAGCCCTTCCATGTCCTGCGCACTGGCCGCAAAGTGCCCTGAATTCACTCCTTCCTTCAACAAAACCCACACCCAACGAGTCCGCGATCCCAGCTCCTCACCTCCTCCACACTGCACGCTGCACCCTTCCCAGCCGCTGTGGGTCCAGATGAACAGAGAGTCCTGGGGTTTTTCTGGTTCACTTTGATTTTCAGCAGTGTAGTTTACAGGAACAGTGTATTCGTAATGAATTCCATAATTTTGATCATGAAATAACAACACCTGGATCAGCAGCAAAATAAAAGGCCACTTTGAAATGGAGGGAAAGCCCACAAGGTCGCTGAATTTGCAAGCCAAGCCACACTGTGGCTGTCGCCCTTACCAGAGGTAACCAGTTTTTTTCTGAGCTTCAAAATAGGTTCTACCTAGGGGAGCTCCTTTATTTCAGTCTTGGGTGCCTCAGATATTCAACTTGGGGGCAGAAGCTACATGAACCATCAGAGGGAGCTCTGCTCTCTCCCACTGGAGAGAGGACTGGTTTAGATGAGGAATTCTGGGATAAGCACTTCTGTGGGCTCTCATTGCACCTACTTGGAGAGCTGCTCTATGCAGAGAAAAGTACTTGTGTCCGCATACTCACCCATGAAGCTGCCCTTGCAGGCAAGAAAGACACAAACATACTGCTTATACCTAAAAATATACTACATACTACCTTTTACTCTGAACAAGTAGAGTTACCCTACTTTGAAAATGAACTTCACTTTCCACTCCCCTAGCACTAATCATTGCTATGTGTAAGGCAGGCTCAAGGGCAAACCCAGCCCACACAAGCGGAGCCTTGGGAATGCCTGTTTGGGAGTCCAAGGATGCATGAGCCTTCTCGCTGCCATGGGAGCTAGGATGATGATGATGCCCATGGGGTGGCAGAGGCCTGGCTCAGGCCTTAAAGCTGGGAGTGAGGGGTGGGCAGCCATCCTGCAGCTTGGGGACCCTTGTGTCTGCAATCTTGGTGAGTGAGCAGATGGATGGGTCTGCTCTTTGGTAAGGCATGTGACAAGCCCTGTAAGGACGGTGCTCTACCAGCTTCATTTCTCTACACATAAGCTGTAAAACAAACCCTCTTGTCGGAGCTTAATGTGGCCTGACTGTGGGTGATGTGTCCTCAGGCCAGGCTTCCAACCAGTGGGCACGCTGGGTCTAGGCAGCTAGCACCTTCACTTCCAGGCTGGGGGGGTCTTCAAGAGTGGGCCAGCGGGAGCTAATGGTGGAATGTGCAGGACCCACCTGACTTAACTTAGGGAAGGCCAGGTGGAAAGCAGGTCAGATGACGGGAAGGATCTTCCCTCCCAAGCCTCTCCCAGCCCTCCAAGGGCTTGAGTTATAGGGTGAGGGTGGGGGTGGGGTGCTAAGAGCAGTTCGAACTGCATAAACATCCACCTCTCCAAGAAACAGACTTGCAGTAATGCGTTTGGAAAAATGCCTCCAGTTAAAAAAAAACCAAAAAACCCTTTAAAAGATCTTTATTATCTCAGTATGGGAATAAGACCGGTGAATCGAGAATCCATATGAAACCAATTTCATGCAATTTTGCAGCCACATATAATTTGTGTGCGTGTGCATAATTGGTTTCAAATGCAGGTCCCTGTGGCTCTATGGGTGCTCCTGACCCTGCAAGCAATGTGCCCACCCCGGTCTGGGGACAATGGACTTATATTTAGAGGCAGAAGGGCAACTTTCATTTCTAGGTTTAAAAACTTGAAGTAACAATCGTATTTTAAGAGACAAAAGCGATTAATATTAAAAAGAGCTGGAACTTCAGCTGTGGCAGTTTTGCTGGGTTTATTTATTGTGGTCTGAATGAATCCAGGCTGTGCATCTGCTTTAATGGGCTGACCATTCATCCAGTTTATGAAAACTTTCAGGAAAGAAAGGGAATGTTCCCACCTTGGTGTTTGCTAGAGAAAGCAACTTCACATGCTAACAGGTGATGTTGCTTTACGAGTTTTAGCTTGTCTTTCCTCTCTCTTTCAGCCCCTCTGAGTAACTGCTTTTAAATCAGGACTGGACTTGGACTAGGAAACAATCTAATGACTTAGATAGGAAACAATCTAATCACAAAGAAATGGCTTAGGTACAGGTTCTTGGGTCCCAGAAACCAACTGGGACCAATATATTGGCAGTGGACCTAGTGGGCTGAGTGTTCCATTGATGTATGTCTGGACAGTTTAAGTCATGCATGGAAACCGGTTCACTTTGCTCTCGTCAGAAACCGTAACGGGGTTGGGCCACCACGGGCGATACCCGTACTGGTGCCATGCTCACAGGCAGAGCTGGTCTCCTCAGGAGATTCCTCAGGGGGTGGCCAGGGAATCTTTAGGGTGTCACCTAACCTTAAAGAGCTGCAGGTTGCTAGAGACCACAAATTCACGGGGAGAAAGAACTTCCTCTAGCAGAGACTTTGGCAAGCACTGAAGACAAAACGTGCTTTGATTACGGACGCACACGCTGCCCCAGATCCCATTCTTTGGAAGGAGACATGGAATCAATAATCACGAGCTATCAGAAGTTAGCCATGCAAACTCCTGGACCCTGAGAAGGAAACAGCGGCACTCCTTTCTCCGGAGATCTTTAATATTCTTAAAAGGATGCAAAGCTGGCTGTTTAAGTGGTTTGCATGGGGTCTTCCCTGAAACAACAGGTAAGATAAGGGTGCCTGATCTGGCCTGACTGCAGAGGGTTCTTGATTCCCCCTGGGGAGTAAATATTCCTGTAGAACCTGGTTCTCCCTTCTGATTCCTGAACGTTTGTTGCAAGCCGAGACTGGAAAATCTGAGTGAAGTTGGCTTGGAAATAGAGTCAACAGTTCACTTCCAAAAGGTAGTTTCCAATGTGGATATACAAACTGCGGGGCGGATCTATGCCATCTGATATAAAAGCACAGACGCCGAGCGGCGCTGCCCGCTTAACGAGGCCAAGTCTCACCGGCTGCCATGTGGCTAAGCACTTCCTCCTGGAGGCGGTCCCTGTTAAAAAGATGGGCGCTGTGCCAGGGCGGGGCCACGGTGAACTTCGGAGAGGGGAGGATTCTGAAGCATGTGGTGAAAGGGATTAGACAAGAAAAGACCGAGAGACAGGCTTGAGCAGCAGGTGGCCAGGTAAACCACCAGGAACCAGGTGCATCTCTTCCCCACAAGGTCCTGGGGAAGAAGTAAACCCGAAAACCCCTTTGAGCCTCAGTCTCAAGGCAAATGCAAAAGCACAGCAAGTTACCATCAGGTACAGGGGTGTTTTGGTGGGTCCCTTGGCAGAAATTTTCTCCCACAGGCCCCTTCTAACGTAGCGGACGGTCGTGCCTGCGATCTGGAACTCTCCGGGGAGTTCTATCTTCCAGTCACTGTTGATGGATCTCTTATTGGAGTCTTTGAGGGCTGGAAAGAGAATGGAACACCATGAAATAAGGGGGAGTCACTCTATCTTTAAAGGGAATCTGAGTGTCCTGAGGGGTGGGTCAGAGGTCTCAGCTTCCACCTCCACCAGGAAAGGAGGGAGGCCTGAAGGGAGAGAAGGCAGGCTTCCTGTGTCCTGAGAACAGCAGCCTGGCTCACAGGGAGTCAAGAGCTCAGGAGCCACAGGACCCTCCGCAAGAGCTGCCCTGACAGGCACCCTCCAGCCTGGGCTGCCTATCTCAGAATCCACAGCCACGAGTGAGGGTGCAGGGAGGACGGGGACAGCCACAGCCAATCACATCTCCCTAAACTGACAGAGGAGAGGGTTTTCTGCCATGAATGAACACTATTTTAATATGTCCACAGCTACAAAATGGGTTTTGCTGCTTTAGGAACACTCCTCAATGCATTTTACTGCTACTTACCCAGGGCTTTTTAGAGAGGGCAGCCTAATCCTCACATCTCTTAAAGATTTGACAGCGCCGAGTGAGTAAAGTCGATGCTTCTTCATGAAATGATCATTTTTCTATTGAATATTAGAGTCTGTAAGCCTGAGCTGCCCACAGATGTGGTGGGGGCCCTCCCACACCGGTCTGTGCACTTTAGGTTCATGCTTTGTTCGCTCACACCTCCACTCGGTACAAAATGTGTTGGAAGAGAAAAGGAATCAACGGTTTGCTGACTGGCCATAGCAAAAGTTTGGTTTTCCATGCAGGCCATGTATTTATTATCTGTGTGCTCACCAGTGACTTTGTCTCTTCACTTAGGTTTGGAGTCATGTTGTTCTCACGAGGAGAGCACGCTGCAGAGAAATTCTGTTTTTTTTTGTTTTGCTATCTAGGAAAGAAAAAAACTAACTAGAACCTTCTCTGGCATTTAAGAGAAGGTGGCAAACAACAATAGGTGAGAAGTCTTTGTGCCACTCACAAAGTGAAACTCCCAGCACGCCCTGAGCCCATGCCATGCTCTCTGCAAGTGCCGCTGGAGTCCCTGACGCCCCAAATGCTCTGTCACTTTGGGACCCTGCTCAGTCCACCATCACCGAAATCAGGTTCTGCCCCGTTCCCTACTCTCTGCTTACTGAGGCCAGAAACAAAACGCCCTCATTTAACATCTATTTTGGATAATGAGAGTTGAAATGAAAAAGGGGCTTTGGTCAGCCCTAAATTCATGAGCCCCAGGCTGGGTTAGGACTTGGTAGGGCCAGTCCTGGCCAGGCCACAAGCAGCTGCAGTTCACTGGGCCTCCACCCCCTCGTCTCTAGGACCTGAGGGTCCCAGTGCTCGCTCCTCCCCAGCCAGGCTTGTCTGGCACACGCAGACAGACGCGTGCTCAGGACTCCTTGCTAATAGGAACTGCCAAGAGAAACCGAGAGAGAAGTGGGACGGGCCGTGTTCCAGCAGAGCGGCTTCCAGGTGGGCTTCACATCCAGGGTGGCTGTGCACAGTGAGCGGCTGAGGATTACAGGACTCCGGGGAAGGCCGAGAGAGAGAAAGCTCTGCCACTTGGAACCAAATGTTCTCCTTCAAGAAACGCTACCCGCTATTGAAATTTCCTGGCTACTAAAAGGGAGTGAGACGGTTGGGATACTCACAATTTCTGCTCCTTTTTCTCTTCCTAAGCCACCACCTGTAAGCCACCATTTAAGGGGCACATTTTCTGGTTTTACCCATTTAATCTTCCCAACAACTCTCTAAGGAAAAGGCTTATTTTCCTCTTTTCACAGATGAGGAAATGGGGGCACAGGGAGGTTAGGGAACCTGCCTAAAGTTACACAGCTATTAAGTTGTAGAGTGGAGACCTGAATCGAAGCATACCAAGCTCAGCACTCTTATTCTGGCAATTTTAACCACATTCTTTAGGTTAGAGTATCACTTTAGAGTTTTATGACAAACACTTTTGAAATGTGCAAATGTCATACTTGTTTTCAGAGAACAAATTCTAGGCTCATATGGCTGCAGGGGCTCATGTTTTCTATACCCTTAAAAAAATAACTAACCTTACAGATTTCCAAAGCTTCCAGCGAACCTATAACCTAAAACACAGTTGTATGTTAATTACTGGGGAATCTGGGTGAAGGCTATACGGATATTCACTGTCCTTTCAACTTCTCAGTAGGTTTGGAAGATTGTCTCTTGCACATGCATATGTAAATTTGATTTCAGGAATCCGTGCAGGCTGGTAGGAAGTAGCAGAGAGACAAAATGAGGGGCCACAGTCCTCTAAGACACGCGTCAGGAAGAACAAGTCAGGGAGGCGCAGGGAGCGCCACTGCCCCTGCCCAGTCCCTCACCTTTTCCTGAGGGCCTTCTAGCCGGGTGCTGAAGACACAGCTCCTGCCTCAGGAGCCCAGCGTGTGGGAGACAGGTGAGGAAACAGATGGACACAACACAATTTCATCAGCTCTGCGACAGAGGCGAGTCTAGGCCCCGCGTCTGTGTGGACAGGGCCTGGGGCAGATCGGGAAGGCCTTCTGAAAGAGGCCCCTCTGAGCCGAGACTGCAAGAAAAGTAGGGAGAGGAAATGGGCGGGAGCACGTGGGCAGGCTTGGACTGTTGCTCCTGACCCTCAGAGGCCATGACTGCTCTTGCCAAGGTGAGTTTCCGGGGGTGGGGGTGGTGAGGGTAGGGGAGGCACTCTGCCCTGTGTGGAGAAACAAGTGGGAGGCGAAGGAATACTCTTTTCAGGAGTTTGACTGGGAAAAGGAGGTGAGAGACGGAGAGTGACTACGAAGGGAGGAGGACAGAGATGGCTGTTACTGTTGCTGGGACAGGGGATACTGGAGCATGTTGAGACCCCTCATAACTTGGAGTCAGAGAGTTGAGCAGAGAGTTTCTTTAAAGCTGTATGCTGCCCACCATCATGCTTGCGCCGACCCCACAGAACCCATTTCCCACACAAAGACCAGAGGCACGCTGGGGCGGCTGCTCTCCCCCTTGTCTCGGCCTATCCATGTGCATGAGCTGACTCCCACATTCAGCGCCCTGGGCCAGGGCCTTGGTTTAGAAGTCGGGGCCCTGACCTTGCTCCTGTTTTATGGCTGCTGTGAACATCCAGCGTGTGGCTGCCTTGCATCTATTTCTCCTTCAAGTAACAACACTCAGAGTTTCCTCTGGGGATATGTTCTTCCTCCAGTCTTGTGAGGCTGACCCCAAACTCCACCCCAGCCCATGGGCCCATCACCCAACCCTGGACAGTAAGAGTCAATTCCAAGACTTTCACCTTGGGAAGAAGCAGCTTTCTTTCCAGGGGGTTGCCCAGAGACTCGATGAAAGTCTGGATCTGCCAGTACATGGGAAGATGCCCCCAGATTCAAGTCCATGGAGAGAAGACAGCAGTGCCAAGATGGAGACAGATGTTTCCCATGACATCATTTTAAGCCTCTGGATCCAGCAGTGCTTGAAGCCAATGCTCAGCAACTGAGAACTGGGTTTGGCTTTCCTATGTGCCTTTTGAAGGCTGGTTTTTTAAAAATATTAACCATGATAGAGGCAGGGCAGGGCAGGAAAGAAAATTACTAGTATGGATTCCTAGAAGTCACCCCAGGATCCTGACTTACGTGAGCTTAGCGTCCCCTGAGCCTGGAGGGCCCAGCATACTCTGTCCAGGCCTTGCTGTCTCCAGGCCTCTGCTCCTGTCCAGCACTAACGTTCAGGAGGGGTGGCTCTTTCTCACCTGGCCTTGCTCGTGCATTTCTCGGGCCTTCTTTCTAAGGTGCTTTAAAGTGATTTATTTAATTATAAACTGAAAACTACTCCACCTTTGTGCCAAAAGTCAAACATCTGGGAGGTCAAGAGTGGGCAGGACTGGAAGAGTGCAGGAGGGCACATCTGGGGATGATTATAAAACTCTCCACAGAAACACCACAGAAGAGTGGGGGTCGGCCTGGGAGCCCCTATTCTGTCGGCAGAGGCACCTGCTGTGGGTATGATAGAGAGGAGGGATGTAGAGCCAGTGGGGGCTTGGGGCATGCCAGCCTCTGATCCCCAGAGCAGGGTCTTGCTTCAGTAGGGGGTGTGCTGGGAGAGGTGGGTGGAGGAGACATTTCAGGAGGTGGTCTGCAGTGTGGGTCAGGGGAGGCCGCAGATATGGTCAAGGAAGAAGAGGAAGGGAAATGAGAGAGGCAGGCTGTGGCTAACCACCTATTCTAGAACAAGGCCAGCAGCTGGATGGGGAGGAACAAGGCAGATAGTGCAGCGCTGGTGACAAGCCCTCTGGGGAAGGAAGCCTAGATTTACAGTGCTTGTTGCTACCCAAGGTGTAAATGCCACGAGGGTGGCAGATACAAGTCATCCACGTGACCTCAGCGAATGCAGAGCCAAGAAGAGCTCCAAACTACCAGCTCTCCCAAGCCACGCACAGCTGCTGGGGCACCCCCAAGGGTTCCAAAGGCACCTATCTTTGCCTTGGAGGGTCTGGTCTGCAGCTGCTGAGTTGGTGAAATCTCACACTATCACACCTTTGAGGTGTTGGGGGGGGGGGGTGCTCTCACGGCCTCAGAAAGAATAAGCTTTGCATGCCCGAGCTCTGCCTGTGGCCAGCTGCACAGCAAGTGCATGCTTCCAGGCCCTGCACACAGCTTTCCAACTGCTCCTTGGCTTCCCAGCTGAAAGCAGCACCCCTTCCTTGGGACAGTTTGATCATGACCACGATCCTTCACGCATCTTGCAGTGGGAGGAAGACAAGCACAGTTAAAAGTAGGTCAGCAGTTCCAAAAAGCACAGGGATCACTTTGAACCCACTGATGTTGGTATAATTTAGTCAGCAAGAATCAAAATTTGCAGGTTGCTGTGATCCATGCTGAGACGTGGGAACTTCCTGCTAAAATCGGAATTTAGGACCTGACATTCCTTCAAAAGGGTGAGACAACAGCCTCAGAGATTCTGATGGAATATCAAGATCGTTATTAGCAGTGAATAAATAGGTTCAGTGTGGAGTCCAATGAGAAAGCCACTTGGTGGGGTCACGTCAGCTCCAGAGAGCCAGAATGCTGATCGCCCCCTGGCCCACCTGCAGCAGCCTCCACCCCGAGCAGCTTCACAGAGCAGGTTTGTGAGAGCCTGTGAGGCCGCAGCTGCAGGGCCCTCACAAGCACAAGTCCTTTCCAAGGCCCCGTACAAAAGGTTGTATTCTTTTTCTTAAAGAAGGCCCCCAAATTAAACAAGTTTTGGGCCCCACAAGTTCCTGTCTCTTTCAATCCTTGGGCATCAATGGTTTACGCAGGCCCCCTTTGCCTGTAAGTATTTTGAGATTAATTTGTATTTGAAATGGGGACTTTTCACACCTAGAAACTCAACAGGGGCTGTTAAGATGATTACAAATGCTTTGATTTGATAGGCAAATAATAGAATTAAGAACAAATGGAATTCTGAGTGATTTGATTCCATCTGTGATGTCTTAAGTTCTGATTTGCTGGGGAGGACATTTTCACGTGCCGGTTCTGCCTGGGTCAGAGCTTGGATGTTTTAAACCACTGTCCAAAATACAACAGTGCTCACTTTTCAGTGTTTTGCTTAGAAGCCTCTCAACAGCTAGAGAGACTTTTGCAGGGACAAGGATGGGTACATGCTCCTCCCTTGCCAGATAGCAGAACAAAACCTCCTCAAGGGCCTAGGAGGTGAGGTCACGTGCTGAATGTCCATTTTCATCCTGGGGCCTTCATTCTCCCTGTGGACATTTATACATCGTCCCTGGACTTCCCGGCATTGTGGGAGAAGATCATGAGTCATTCCAGGGAGCAGGGAGGGGGCATTCCTGATGCGAGGGCACAACTCCTCTTTAGAGCTGGCTGGAGGCAGGTGTAACAAGTCTGCCCCTGTTCACGTGCCCTCCTCTTGCATGGCGCAGTGAGAAGCTGGGCTTCTTTTTGTCTCTCCCTCTTGGATTCCACTGGAAGACTTGACCCACAGTCAACCTACTTCTAATCCTGGCATTGAGTCAGCTCCTTTTATTTCCACTAGGAGTTCTGCCAGCTCTGTTCTTAGCTATGGATGCAAACTGCAGAGGCATTTCCTGTTCCAGGTGGTTTTGAGCAGAAAGCCAGGCAGCGTGGGCTGAATGGTAGGTGGGGTGAAATTCTTCAGGAACTGCTCCCAGCAAATGTGAGAGTAATTCAAAGTTACACTGGGTTGACTTCCAAAGCACCCAGCCCTGAGTGGAAACAAGGCTTGTTTGAACTAACTTTAGAAACATAATGAGCAGGGACCACCTTCAGATTTGCCCTTGTGCACACACCAGGCCCTGGAATGTTGGGATTATGAACTGTGGATAAGATAAGGGGACAAAGGCTGCCTCTAACCTCCCATGGAGTTCCAGTGAGCTGATAAGCTGCCCTGAGACATTGAGCCAATCTCCTCGAGATGGACGTTTGCTTCTCTGAAGTCCACACAATGAGGCAGTAGCAATGGGCAGCTTTAACATGTGTTCGCCAGTGAAAAATTGTCCCCATCCGTTGATCTCTGGCCACGACTGTAAACCTCAGAGCAATTCTGGGAGGCTCCAAGAACTGCAGAAGGCCCAGATGAAGTGATGAGCTTGGACAAGCTACTGAACCCCTGGAGCCTCAGTTTCCTCTTCGGTGAAACAGGCATGGCGATGCTTTGCAGTACCTTTGGGGCATTAGCGGTCAGGTCTGCAAAGCAGAGCAGGGCTCAATGACTGGGAGCCACTAATGTTGATGTTAGTGTTATTATTTGCATGTGTGGCCCTCAGGCTTCAGGAGCTAAGAGGGACCACCATGAGAGCTAGCTCCCCTGGGCAGCATCCATTAGTTGTTACTTGTTGGCCCTAAAATGGGTTCCAGTGAAAAGTTCATTTTTACTATAGGAATTAGAAGTTGAGTGATCTAAAGGATTCTGACATCCTTCTGTCATTCTTATATTGCCACAGAAAAGTAGAGATAATGCTTTTATTTTTGCCAGATACCTGGGGCTGGGGTCAGGTGGATGAATGGTGCTGGGAAGTCTCAGAAGCCAGGACTGGAAGCCAAGGGACTTACTCACAAGGGCACCTGCTGGTGCTCTATGGAAGAACCAATAAGTTAACCTTGGAATTGCACCAGCTCCTGGAACACTGGGATTATGATTTTTGGATAAGAGAAGGGTCAAAGGTGATGTTAGCCTCCCAAATAGGCCTGGTGCCCCTGTGGAGCAAAAATGTCCTTTCCAGGTAGGGGAGGGCCAATGTACCAGTTGGAAAGGGTAACTTTTGGGGGTGATACTAGGTGATGGGCCTTCTGAAGCAAACAGTGGTGAAGTTGACCCAATTTCCTTAAGTGAACAGAAAGACGGTGGTGGGGGGGTGGGGCGGGTTCTTTGAGAATTTAGTAAAAAGGCTGTCACTCTGAAGAAGCTGCCAAAAGCAGCACAAGGCTCTGTTTTAGAAAGCATTTATAAGCACTGTTCTATTTGTAGAGTCACAGCTGGCACAGTGCGGAGAAGAGTGCCAGGCTAGACTGGGACAATGTCCACACTGTAGAGGTGGGAAAAACCACAGCACTGATGAAGACCAACATGGATATCAACCTGAGGGACAGCAAAGTCCTACCTTGGCAGCAGGAGCAGCAGTGGCTGTTACGGTCTCAAGGAGGCAGGGCGGAGGGCAGATGAGAAAGCTGCGGAGGAGGTGACAGGGCTGCCGCACACAGTACGGAGCCCCAGAGGGCTGCTTATTGGTGAGCCCCGGTGTGGGCACTTAGAAACAAGAACTCCTGTCCGCAGTCCTGTCGTTCCCCAAGGTAGGTGTGGGGGGATCATCCTAGTGTCTGTAAGTGGTTCCTAACTCTTAAATAATAGGATGGTGCTCTTCATTCTAAGCTTGCCTATTAGAGGTTTGTTTTCCGTCTGTCTCATTAGACTTTGAATTCTAAAATAGAGAGCATTTCAAAGACAGACTTAGATACGTTTTTATCTACAAAGTCAGCAACATGGATAAAGATGTAATTTTTTTTTATGACTGATAAAAGTTGAAATAAAAGCGTTTCATGAGTAACTTCTTTTTAGCCAAAACAACTTAATTCTTAAGTTTGGAGCCAGAGAGAGATCATGTCTCACATGTTTTTTTTAAATCTCAAACAGCACCTTGCAACAAAGACTGAGAGATTATGAGGAAGCCCAGGAGAGGGGGGACCTGGGTAGGAGAGCAGCCACCTCCAGCGTGAAATCCAACCCGAGACAAGAACATGGGAGTAGGGCTGGCGGGAGGACGTGGTCGCAGCAAGTCCCATCCCAGTGAACTCAGAGCAGAGGCAGCTCCTGGGCACCCTGCTGGCTGCTGCCATGGCAACATAAAGAACACTTAGGCATGTCAACTCAGCACTCTACCCTGTGGCTCCAGTGCCAGGTTGACCTTTGCAGGGGCTGACGGGGAAGCTGGGAGTTAAGCTTAGGATACACTCAGAGGGTTTTCTATGGCTAAGAAGGGGTTCAACTGAACAATTATTCTTAGGCTCTAAGCATGGTTCTGTAGAAGGTAAGGAAAACCAGTCTGGAATGGAACCCAATCCTTCCACAGAAAGACACAGGCGTCTGTGCCTGAAGTCCATGGAATTGGCCACCAGGAATTTGGAGCACACAGTACTTAGTGAAAATCAGCGTTCTTTTGGGTTTCCATGAGATTTAGGGCTGTTACTCTTTTTCCAGCAAAAGAATCATCCCCAGAGCCACTGACAGCCTGCCGGGGGTTTCTGCAAGTTAGGCAACTGCCCAGACTAAGACTGCTCTGAGCTCTCCTGGTGTTATCTTGGGGGACTTACGCTACCCCAGTTCCTCACGTATTCCTTCACTCTTCTGTCACCTTCCTGTCTGTCCAAAGCTGGTGGTTCCTACTGATCACCTGCCACCCTCCACCTTGGAGGTGGCTGCACTTTAGCCAAATATGACAGCACTGTTTGGTCCACTCTGATTACTTATATCATTACACCTAAAATACGAGTATAAAACCAATGGCCTGGGAGAATGATGCTGAACTGAATGACCAGCCTGATTGTCGAAATCAATTCTCAGAACATAAATTGTGAATCAAATCCTTTTTGTTTTACCCAGAAAACTGTGGGCAGGTTTATCTTCCACCACGCGAATCCTCCGAGCTCCAGCTGGAATGATGGCGGCTTCAATATAACCTGTGGTAACAAATAATATAGAGGTGAACCACACTGCCACCCCTGATCAGGGTCCCACGCAGCATCCCCTACCAAAGTCGACCTTACCATACCCCCCATGGTAATGTCAGACACTGTGGGCTGGTACAGCTCTGAGAAATCAAAATAGTCAATTAACAAGGAGTGAGTGTTCTTTCATGGCCAGAATCTCCTGGCTCCCAGAGAGCGCCATTTGCATGTGTTAAAAGTTGAATTGTGTCATCTCTCCTGGCAACCAAACCCCCTAGTGCCTCAGAATGTGCCCTTATTTGGAAATTGGGCCATTGCAGATGTAATTAGCTAAGATGAGGTCACACTGGAGCAGGGTGGGCCCCTAATCCAATATGATTGGTGTTCTTATAAAAAGGGAAAATTTGGACACAGACATGCACACAGGGAAAACTTCATGTAAACATGAAGCAGAGATCAAGATGATGCATTTACAAGCCAAGGAATGCCAAGGATTGCCAGCCAACCACCAGAAGCTAGGAGAGAGGCCTGGAACAAATTCTCCCTCATGGCTCTCAGAAGGAACCAACCCTGTAGACAATTTGATCTCAGACGTCCAGCCTCCAGAACTGGGAGACAATAAATGTCTGTTGTTTATGCCACCCCGTGTGTGGTACTGGGTTATAGCAGCCGTAGCTGACTGAGACAGCCTGGAATTCTGTGTGAACAGTACCTCCCTGGAGGATGGGTGTGGAGTGCCCCACCCACTTCATTTATTGGAGGTTCCTTTGCTCTTTGCTGGACTTTATACTTTCCCTGAATCCATGGATGACGGCAGAAGCTAAGCGACCTGCCCTATGACAAAGCCACTGCCTTAACACACTGCCCACTGTTTCCTGCGTCCACTGTCCTTTGGGCATTTCAGCAGCTATCACAGCGCAGACTTTTTTCCACTTCCTTTTCTAAGTATAGTGGGAGGCCCTCAGAGACCAGGGCCTTCCTCTGGCCATGCCCTGACCCCGCCCGGGCCCAGAACAGCAGGTGGTTAGTGAAGATTTGGGGAGGACACGACTGAGGCTGCCAGGGAGGAGGTCAGCGAGTGGCTGATGCCTGGTTAACTGGGCAATTGTGTCAATAAATGGGCCAATGTTATGGTGAGACTCTGAAATGCAGGCTGGTAATCATTTTGTTTTGATTTTCATTTGGGTTTTAGACAAGGGTAATAGGCATTTGCCTCAGCAATTTAGATGATGATCCCAAATTAGATTCTGAATGTGAGGCCTGTGGTTCCCAAATGTGATCATCAGAACCAGCAGGGGAGCTTAAAAAATGAGAGATTTCTGGGCCCCAACTACATAGGGATTATGGAAATATCTATTTTAAGGGGTTTAGTTCCTCATTTTCTCACAGTAAAAATGGCTTTTTTACTATAAAAATAGTACACAATAATTCAAACTACAAAAGGGGGAAAAACAAAATCAACCCATACCACATGGCACTAAGTAAATAACCCTTAACTAATATTTTGGTGACCAGCCTTTTCAGCATTTCTTAATGCATATGAACATACACACATCACTTTACATAACTAGGATATTGTACACGGTTTTTGAAAGATCAAGGACAACTTTAAAATAGAGTTTTGCTCAAGGTACAAAATTGAAAAGTTATAAAAGGACAGGTAGACAGTATATCGTATATCTTATATATCGTACAATATATCTTGTACACTATATCCTGTAGCTAGCTGCTTTCCAACACTCTTATTCTTTATAATAACATGTGTATTTTGGCTAGGTTTCTATGTAGCTAACTGAAACATCTGTCCATATGATAGCTTTGTTTCTTTCCAATCTGTATGCCTTTAATTTCTTCTCCTTTCACCATTCTTGTTGGGACTTACAAAACCACGTTGTATGCAACACGAGATTGTGGCATCCTTGTCTCATTCACAAAGTTCACAGGAATGCCTCCAAGGTTTTCCCACCGAAAATGATGTCTGCTCTGAGAATGTGAAGGGTTTCATTTATCCGGTTAAGGAAGGCCCCTTCTATCCTGGTTTGTTAAGAGCTTTTGTTATGAAGAAGTCTTGAAGTTAATCCAGTGCCTTTCTGCATCTACAGAGATCATCATATTGTTTTCCTTCCAAACAGCACAAGGAGCCTCAGAGCAGAGCAACTGTAATCACACTGGTCATGGCAACACGGCGTGTGTGTGAGTCAGTATCTTACCTCTGTCTTTCTTTCACAGATACGTTTAGTTAATTGTTATTTCCTTTTCATTCTGATGTTTTCCTGTAAACTTTTAATTATATTTACACTTCTATTATGTGACATCAGTTGTAAGTGCAGTATTTTAATCCCTTGATACTAAAACATGGAAAATCAGCATGATTACTCCACACTCCACTTTCTTACATCCCATTTCCACTCTTATTGTATCATTATTCCTATGTTGTATTAGTTTATAACATTTATCTTTTGCTAAGATAATTCCTGTAGTTGTTTTAGTCTTAGACCTAAAAAACAATGTTCATTTTATGTCCTTTTGCTACAGTTTCTCCAAAAAATTCTTGCTTGCCCCAAGTTTGTTCTCTTAGAGATGGGCTTGTGGGAATTATATTTTCTGAAATATAATAAAGTAAAAGATTATGGTTCACTGTCCTTATAGTTGCATGTCAGTTTGGCTGGTATAAAATTCTTGGGTCACACTGTCTTTCTCTGAGGCTGTTATATAAGTTGCGCCATTGAATGCTAGTGTGGAGAAGTCTAAGGTCAATCTGGTGTTTTCCATTTATTAGGTTACCTAAAATTTGGATGAGACACTCAAAGGATTCTTACCTTTAAAATCTAATAGGCTAGTCATAGTTTAGTGTAAATGTTTCCTGGGACACAAGGCTATACTATTATTATACTTAAATATATTTTTCTGGTCTCTTTGTTTTTTTTCCAGGGATATCAAATTATTTATGTTTGATCTCCTTTTTCTTCCATAGCATGTACTTAATTTCTTATCCTTTGATTCTTCGTTCATTTCCATATTGCTTTGCTCATTTTTCTCAACTCTGTCCTTCACGCTTCATATTGTGTTCTCAGCAGTGTTACTTTCCTTTGCTTCCATGTGGACTTGGTTCTGCGATGGATTTACTTTATTCCTGTATATCTTTCTTCAGCTCTGCTAAGGCATGTTTCATCTCCCTCTGTTGCTTCGTTGTATCTTCCTTGAGGTCCCGTATCTTAGCTATAAGTTCTTATTTTATTGAGGCTATTGTTTAACCAGTTTTTGGAATTTATGGCAGTAACATTTGGTCACAATTTGCATCTTCTCCTTGGTAACATTTTGCTGGTAATTTTTTTTTTATCAGTCATTTGTTCTCCTTGTCTCTTTACCTCTTTCCTGTTGCAGTATACTTGTATAAATCCTGTGCTGATTCTCTTTCTAAATTTATTACTAATCTTTAAGTGACACAAGTTCTGACTATACCAACTGCTCACAGTAGGTTTGTGTGGTAGGGAGGGACAAGATAGTGTTGAGAACTAACAGGACTTTTCCTTGGTTTATTGTAAAATTTGTTAGGACACAGGTTTATGTGTATCAGCAAGTCTATTTTTATTTTTGTAAAAAATTTACACAAATACACTTGTATTTTCTCATTGCAAGAATTTTAGCTGCTGGCTCAGTAGCGTAAGGGTTAAGTTCATGTGCTCTGCTTCAGTGGCCCAGGAAGCGCAGGTTTGGATCCTGGGTGCAGACCTACACACTGCTCATCAAGCCATGCTGCAGCAGCATCCCACATTGAAGAACTAGAAGGACATACAACTAGGATATACACTATGTACCGGGGTTTTGGGGAGGAAAAAAAAATGAGGAAGATTGGCAACAGATGTTAGCTCAGGGTTAACCTTCCTCACCGAAAAAAAAAAAAAAAAATTAAAAAAATTTTAAAAAGTAGTAATACTGGTAATTCTCAAGTTCCCTAATCCCACTCCTTTCCCCTGCGAGAACTGTCATTATCAGTTTGGTGTACATTCATTCAGATATTCTACTATTTATACATATATCTACACAATAAAAAATATATTGTGTAGTATTTTCATATTTATATTTCTCTATATTTTACATAAGTGTTAAGAATAACTTATGACTAAATATTGTACTATACTACACTTTTTTAAAAAAACATGATATGTCTTAGAGATCTATCCATGTGAGTTTGTATAGCTTTACTTTATCTTTCATTTCAACTGCTATGTAGTTCATGTAACTATTCTCCTAATGATTGACATTTATGTTATTTGAAAATTTTCTATTAGAAACAATGCTGTATCATGTATGAACACACACACAAAATCTCTCAAAAAAATATTGCAATCTAATCCAGCAACATATGAAAAGGATTATACACCATGAGCAAATATGATTTACCCCAGGAATTCAAGGTTGGTTTAATATATAAAAACTAATCAATGTAATTACTATATAAAGGACAAAAACAACATGGGCCATTTTAATAGATGGAGAGAAAGCATTTGACAAAATTCAACACCACCCTTTCATGATAAAAACACTCAACAAACTAGGAATAAAAGAGAACTTCCTCAACCCGATAAAGAGCACTTACAAAAACCCCACAGCTAATACCAGACAACGGTGAAATCCTTAATGCTTTCTCCACTAAGATCAAGAAGAAGCCAAGGATGTCCACTCTTCCTACTTCTGTTCACCATTGTACTGGAAGTTCTATGTCAATTAGTCAAGAAAAAAGATTTTTAAAAGGCATCCAGATTGGAAAGGAAGAAGTAAAATTCTCTCTCTTTGCAGATGTCAAGATCTTATGTATAGAAACATCTTATGGAATTCACTAAAATCTATTAGAACAGGTTCAGCAAGGTTGCAGGATATGAGATCAATATACAAAAATCAACTGCATTCCTATATATTAGGGATGAACAGTTCAAAATGAAATTAAAGAAACAATTTGACTTAAATAGCATCAAAAAGAATAAAATACTTAGGAATACATTTAACAAAAG